ACCCGATGTACTCAATCGAGAGCGAGATGTAGGATGAAACAGGCCCGGAGTGACTTGTTGGGCGGCTAGAGATGCGGACGGCAGCAGTGCCGTGGCGGCGTATCGTGCCGTGGATGCAATAGAGTATCAACTGATTGAAGCAGCCTCGGGCGTCTTGACCAGACAAATTTCGAAAGCTCAGGATGGTAATGGCAAAGCTGCGATGCCTCAACGGGCCATTCTGTTCTTGTACTCACATCTCGTCCTACCGGTCTTGCACTCTCTATTCGTGTGTTCCTGTCGATGCAAGTGCGCGGCTTACATGACCCGAACTGGGCTATTTGGCCCTCCCAGATCGATCTGCACATGAGACAGCTGATGTTGTGTAACGTCAAGTGCAGCTTGGGTCGGATTTTTCCGTCAATACGGAGTAGTCTCGGGGCATTGGTGTCGGTCGGCGACTTTTGCCCTGGATTGGACAAGCCGGCCACAATGGAATACAATGGGAGGCAAAACGGACTTATTAGGTACTATGTAGGTACTTGGTCATCGCACCCTGTGCTATAATATACTACATAATATTAGTATGTCCTTATAAATAGGCAAGTATATCAGACCATGGCTGTATATATGAGATTTGATTGATACTTGGCAACTGAGGCGACCGCCGCCTTACTTCCGTCGGCTTTTGGCAAGCGGACGTCCGTCATGCCTGGTCAGGGGGTGGACGAATCGCCGACACAGTGATGGCACATCATGGCTAAAGCCAAGGTTGAGACCAAGTGCGTAAATGCAGTGCGTAAATGCTATTATGAATTCAATCGCTATTTAAAATGCCAAATGCTCATGATCGGGGTAAAATCTCTCGTTGACTCGAGTGCCGCGATACACTTTCAGCGTCCAAGTGTGGAAAGCGCCCACTTTCCCTGCTATTTCGCCCATCGCCCTCTCGCGTCTCCGTCACCATTACATCCTTGGTTACCAATATGCCACGCGCGGTCGGTGTGCGCTTCCGTTGCATCTCGTAGGATTCGTTGCTGCCGCCAATGGTGTCGGGATGTATTGGTCCATTGCCGTTTCTTCGCTGTTCCTGTCGCTCCCTCTGGCGATCCAATTCTCGCTTATCCCGTCTGCGCTTATTCCACAGGCCATACAAGGTGGGGGCATTTACGACGACGGTAGCTGTCAGCAATTCTGCGCTGGCCCAGGTGGTACGGTTTCCCTGGCTCCCGATATTGGCATAGTTGATGCGCAGACGCACGATGGTGACGACGATGATGAATATGCCGAGTGTGAAGAGGGGGTAGAGCTGTGCCTTTCTCCTCCATGGTGCCCTCAAAGATGCGACGACAGGTATTGGTAGGACGAGCAGCATGAAGTCGGTGACGATGTTGATAATGCCAAGAGCGAGGAGTTGAATGGGTGCTTTGGCGCAAGGACCTGTCGCGCACACATCCAGTTAGCTCATGGGTACGCCCAAAAACAAAATACGATATTGCAGAATCGCAGGCCGAGTTGGGAAACTATTTCATCGTACCAGGATCTGGCACAACCTGCCAGTATAATCGAAATGGTCTACATTCGGTAAAGGTGATAACTTCTACCGCAACATAGGACACGCAAAAGACGACGAGGTATCCCCTTATAATAATCTTTTCATATGCAAGATCGAGAATGAGTCGGCGATAAAGGTCTAGAAGCACGAGCTTCTGTAGCCAGAGACTTTTCATGTGAGGCGTCAGTATATTCTGCCTTGTTCAATCTTCTTGGGCCAAGGTAGCTTCAAGTGGGCAACCTACTATGAAATGTAGACGAAGCGGCCGGCGATTGACAACTTGCTTCCTATCTCACGCTGGTAGATTTCGGTTGCGGTGAAGTCGTGGTTTAATCGGTATCTCATGGACATACTGTTCGTTCCCCAAACGAGAACGACGTGAATGACAGCCAGTCTTATGAAGGCGCAAGCAATGGCACCCGCGGTGAAGTAGTCGCCTAAAATGAAGGACTGCTTTGCCACTTTCCTCCAGGCTAATCGTAGCGTCATGATGAGGATTGCTACGCAGCTAAACACCCAGTGGATGATGAGGGCGGTGTTTCTGGGCACTCGGTTCTTCATCACCTCCATCATCATGGCTCTTATTGACGCCCTTGTCTGGCCATTGCAGCTTCTCCAAACTAAGATGACGACAGGCTGCAAGTAGCAACTCGAAGCTGTTTATCGCCAAAATTCAAATTACAACAAACGACCCAAGCTATTCGGATGCTTGGCGCAGACTCGCAAACACCGAATAGCAGTGGCAAGTTGATCGAATGTTGAACCCAGAAAAGAAAAAAAAAAGAACCAACAGAGGGCGAGAGAGCTGTAATAGAGGTGAATCCTTGGCCAATTCCTGTTCCTGTACGATAAAGGATGGAAATACAACCCAATTTACTCTGTATGTAGCAATCCAATTGTGGTTCGTGGTCAATGTTTGACTTGAGGTCCAAGTAAGAAAAGAATGGCTGCTAATATTAAGTAGACCTTTGCAAAATTGAACACGCCCTTGTCATGTTGTCAGCCCTGCAAAGGCAAATACGCCGTACTCCGTACTACCGCGCCAAGGCCAATTTGTGGCCGTTGTCGATGCGAACGGGGGTGTTGGCTTGGGTGCTTCGCCTGCCCTGACCTGGTTGACCTGGTCATGATTCCAGTCCCTGGAGCCCGAGACCGCGGACATCGCCGTACGAGGTCCACCCCCTATCCGCCTGAATACTCGCTAAAGTTTTCGCATCATGAATGATGGGCCAAGCGCTCTCTTCAGCGGAGACATGGCATACAGGACTGTCGAAGCATGAGGCCAGCAAATGAAAGTGGTGGATCTTGCGAAGCGGTTTTCTGGTGTGGTGCCTGCATGCACACGTCAACTCGGAACATTAGCAACTGGATGCGATAGCCGGGAAGGAGCCGCCGAACGCCTCCTGCAGGTTGCGGTATTAGAGCGGTGGCCTTCGCCCCAGGAAGGAGCGAGTCATTGCATCTCCTGCCTGCCCGTCGTGCAGCAGCAGATGGACATTTCCGCGGACGGATCAACTGGTAGTCCTGACCATCAACCACCCTCTCAAGACTCAATTTCCTACCCATCACTGGGGTAGAGTAGTATTGATGTTGGTGGCTCCGGATATTATATATCGGCGACAGGAACAGTCCACGAACCATACGAGTGATGCCGTCCCACTTGACTCACCTCCGAGCCCGCCGCTGGTCACGACGAAGCAGAGAGCCAACATTGAGCCCGTGGCCGTGATGGGTATAAAATTTGGACACCGCGACTACTGCCAATTGTCAAGACTGCGCATGGTTGTCTTCAACGTCCCATGTTCGCAGCGGCTGTCAGACCACCGCTACCACAATAAGCTTGACGCCGTGCAACGCTCCACACGTGGCATCGGGTCACGGACGGGTTCCTCGTTGCAGATCGTAGTACGAGTTCCTTGAAATACGTTTGCCCAAGCTGTTCGCCTCCGTTGCCCCGCTCTTTTGCTGGCGGGCAGGCTTCGCTGGTCACTGACACTGATGTCTCGAGTTCCTCTCATGGCGGGGAGAATCTTCCGCGACCAGATGTCAACATTTACGTTGAGCAGCTGAAACCCGTCAACGGCACCACTCAACAGACCCCTATTGTCACCATTCACGGCCAAGCACAAACAGGTACCGTCGAGTATGTACAGCCTTTTTTTCTTGCTCAGCAGCTTCTCAAATACGGTGGCAGTGCACCCCACATAAAAAAAACGCGGCTTGTCACACCATGATGGGCTCCGAGCATGATTTAGCCATTTGAGATATCCATCTTTGCCTCCGCAGTATTTCAAGATGGGTGCATCATATTTCTCCCAACTTACATCATCTATGCCGCCATTCCTGCATGACTCTACTGAACTGGCATGCTTTCAGGACCCTTAACAAACTGCTCTATCTTTCTGAGGCCCACGAGATCACCTTCAATCGTGTCTGCCAGCTCCTTGGGCACCCAGTCTTCAGTATGTCCACCGCCAAAGTCCACAAGCCAAGTATTCATGTTCCTGTCAACTAGTACATTCGCCGGCTTGGCATCGCCCCAAGATATCCCCGCGGAGTGTAACAGGCAAAGAGTATCTCGGATTTGTCCTATCCACCGATCTTTTAGGGTGCCCGGCGTTTCTGGCCGTACTGCACAGGAGAGCGTCGTGCCACCACAGTCCACATCGGTGAGTAGTAGACCATATACCAGCCCGTTTCCGTCCTTGACGAGTCCCAGCAAGCGTGAGATGCGAAGCGATGCATCGACTGATGCGTTTCGGATGGCCTGGTACTTTGTAACCTCCTGTCTGAGGCTCCAATTATCACCCAGGTGCATCATCTTCAGAAAGGCCTTGGTGCCATCTGGCAACAGAACCCTCCTTGGTACATGAGTCGGAACTCTATCCCGGGTTTCTTGGTCAATCCAAACCTCGGACGGGAGATAGCCAGGCCACTGTTCATAGTACTCTTCGCGTAATGGAGTGCCATACCTTGATCCGCTATTTCGGCCAAGAGTCATGGGCTTTGCAACCAGCTTCTCGTGGATGCCGCAAATCTTGTAATGGTGCGTTTCTGGGGTAAGGAAATCTTGCACAGATCGTCTGCACGGGTTAGGCGAAGACTTCATTCCATAAAATATCGGAAAAAGAGGCTCGGCGGCCCAATCATACAAGTCATCAACAGTATTCCCATCAAGCTCAACATCCTCAGCAACCCGCAAAAAGAAGAGATATCTTTGAAGAAGTTGAGGGGATGCATCAAAGTTGCTCCTGGATAATTGGAGGACGAAGCGCACACCGTTGCACATGATGACAAGCTGGGAGTCGGTGTTGCGGCATGAAAATGTAAAGTCGATGACTTCCCAAGGCGGGAACGCGTCGTCACCCGCTCGGCTCAAAGAATCGTTTGCATTGTTCATGGCCAAAATGGTGGTAGATTGTGCAGCAGATGGTGCAAATGGCAAGTTATGTAGCCACATGTGCACATGCTATGGCCTCAGGCTGCTCTCCACACCGGAAACGGCTCCATGGGCGACGTCGTCTTTGACACCTTGTACAGCTCCAACGTCCCGTTCATCAACAACGTCACCTACCAGTTATCAAGGGTAAAAGCCGCAGGAGCTGCTCTTGACAAGACTGGCAAGCCCTTGGCGCTCATGGGCCACAGCCAGGGCGGCATTCCTCCCCATCGTCAAAGCCGATGCGAGACAAAATCACAAAGGCACTCACTCGTACTCCTTGTCCCGTCCGAGTCGGCTACCACGGCGTCTACGACTACGGCACAGCAGAGCATCTGAAACAAGCAGGCTGCTCCAAAACGAAACATCTAGAGCTCGGCAAGGCCGGCATCCATGGCCGCAGTCACATGTTTCTCATGGAAAATAACAGCGACCAATTCGGCGATCATCAAGGATTGCATCGTTAAGGCGTGACATGAATCTGGCAGCTACAGTGGAAGGTCAAGACGTGTTAAACTGGACCAGGTACCGGAATATCGTGCTCTATGACATCAATTGATACCATACTACATTATACTATGAATAGGCAAGTTTGGCGTATATATACCCGTTCATAGGCAACCATCATGGCATATTCTGCACAAGCACACGTCTTCTCTTCCAGCACTGGGCCTTGTTCCGGCAAGTCTGGTAAACGAGTGCCGTAGCATTCTTTCAGCGTCTGGTGTCGGCATTGTTTCACGGCGGAAACACCATTCAGTAATATCATGACATGCACAGACTCCAATAACCCTAACCCTAAGCCCCGCTTCTGCGATGGCAATTCAATCCACCCGTATGTTTGGCCATGAGTGACCTGCCAAGGAAGCTAAGGGGATTATAGGCAGGGTCCTGTGATAATAATCCTCTCTACGGAGTCGTATTTCTAATACTAGAAATGACTAGTTATTAGTAAAGAGAGCAACAATAACCCGTCTTGGGAAAGAGTTCACTCAAAATCTATGTAGATACGTCTCCAGCTCTACACGCTCACTTTGACAACCATGGCCTATTCGTAGCTCTGCCTGCTTCATCAGGTTCGGAGTGATACTTGAGCCCACTCTACCCGATGCCTCGTCAAATCACCGAAGTGGGATTGATCGGTGATGAAGCAACCGATTTGGCGCCCTCCGACAAACATTGAAGCCTCCCGCCAAGCCATTGACGTCTTGACGCAAATCACCCTCCGCATGTAAATATCGGACAAATACCTCACTCATCCTGGACCGCCACAACTGTCTTTATTTTGGTACTGCCCGCAATCGGCAGCATGCAAGGGTATGCACTATCCCTCGTCTTGAGCTGACACGCATCCACAGGGGTCCTGCACGAGCGTATGTAGTTTATGGTGTGCTCGGGATGCCATATTCGTCGACGGCCGGTATCTCAGCTTGCATACTCAACACGGTAGCCGGGACACTGCACCACCGCCCACTGCGGACAAGCAAGCGTTATCAATTGCATCACAGTTTACACAAATAAAGTATTGGTCTAATTTATTTTTTAAAAAAAATCTATTTAGATGTGATGCTCATCAGGGTATAAGGGTGGTGCATCATATACCAAAAGCGACTAAAGGAGCTCTATCGAGGTCAAGTCTTTCCTCCTTCGCAGCCAGTGCAAAAGTAGAAAATATCAAACAAGAAAAAAAGCAAAATCTTTCATGACAAACATCAATGCCGCCTAATGCCAAATATAAAATCCCAAACTCCAAACGATATGAAATCCATCTACGCCTCCACGGCAATAGCCTCCGTCTCAGCATCCGCAACAGCCTTCTCGAGACCCTGCTTCAGCGAAGAAGCAAGCTTCTTGCGCATCTCGCGCTGGATGCCGTGGTTCACGGCGTCCAGGACATTGTCCACAATGACGCGAGGCTTGTAGGCGGGCTCCGTGCCGTCCTGGTACACGCCCGTCTTGACGAGGATGCTGTACCAGTCATTGTCGGCCTTCTTGTTGACGGCGTTTGTGCCGCGGATGTCGCTCTCGGGCGTGTCGCCGACAAAGTAGACGGTCTGGGGCGCGTCCGAGATGCCGTGCCGCGCGTGGCGCCACTGGCTCATGAGGCGCGAGGCGAACTCGAACGTGGGCACCTGCGGCTTGCCAAAGGCGTGCGTGGCGAGCCGGCCCCGGCCGCGGGTGAGGTCGTCAAAGGTGACCTCGAACATGCGGCGGAGGGCGCCCATGCCGAGGCGGACGTGCTCGTGGGCCGCGGACCAGACGACGTCGTTGTGCGAGAAGTAAAAGGGGGGGCCCTCGTCAAAGGTCTCGCTGCGCGTGCAGAGCCGCCCGCCCTTGGACATGGCGAGGTCGAGCATGATCTGGATGTCGCCCGCCCAGTCGCGGGAGTCGGCGAAGACGAAGACGGCGTCGATGGTGACGTCGTCAAAGTCGCGGGCGCGCGAGTTGGCGTGCTCCTCGGCGGTGAGCTTGCGGAAGGGCGGCGTGGCAGAGTCGTGCTTGATGATGTCGCCGGGGGTGACGACGTCCCGGAAGCCGTAGCCCTCGGCGACCTCGCGGCACTTTTCGCCCTCGCCGCCAATGACGAGCACGGTGCCGTACTTCTCGGCCATTTCTCTCATGGGGGTGTGTCCGCAGATGAACTGGCCGGGCTGGATGTCCTGCAGCAGCTGGCGTGAGAGGTCGCCGCATCGCTCCTCTTCGGTTTTGCCGCCGCCGTTGGTCAGGAAGATGTGAGGTCTGCAGGCCACGTTAGCTAATCGTCATCCCGGATGCACAACACCTAAAGCAAAAAGTCACGATGGAACCCTGGTGGGTTGAGTGGACCGAAATCCGAAATCCGGGGGTGGAACTGCCAGGGTCGTGAGGTGGCACTTACACATGGATGCCGAATTCGTTTTCTCCGTTGAGCACTCTCATGGCCTGAATTGCTTCGGGGATGGCCTTGCCGCCGCGGACAAGAACGCCATCGATATCAAAGGCAAAGACGAAGGAGTCGGCCACGGTGGCAGGAGAGAGTGGTGATGGGGGGGTATCAACGCTGGCGATGCTGGCGCGAGAGCTGTCTGCAGACAGGCCAGGGGAGCTAGGTGTGGTTGACGGTGCAGAAACTGCGTCAAGGTCCTTTTTAGCCTGTTCAACAGTCTGGTAGAACTTGGCCTCTTGCTGTTGCGTTGCCGCCATGATGGATAGTGAGTTGTGCTGTGGTGGTGCTGGAGCAGGCGTCGAGCCGTATAAGTGAATGATTTGATTCAACGAGCTCGTCCCTTCTTCTCGTGCCTTTATGACAAGAGAGTGGAGAAAGATCGGAATAGTACGAGGGTTTCTGGTCTTGAAATTGAGATCTACCGTCATGAACGGTGGGAGGATGTGAGTGCCTTTATAGTCTCTGGGGATTCTACTGCCCAGACTCCCTCTCGAGTTGTTTGTTTTCTGTCACATCTGGCATGTGTGTCTCGGCATGGAGCCCACTCGCTACGAACGTTGTAGCTACTCAGCCCGAGTCATAATGGAGAGTGGAACTCATTCAGAAACATGCCCAAGGTCGTGGCGAAGGGGACCAGCGTCGAACTGAATATCCACATGGCGGTTCCACTTGATGAAAACTCTGGAGTGATGACATCCATGGTGACGGCACACAGGGACAGACCCCGTAGCAACAATACACGATGCCCCTTTTTTTTTCCCTTGCTGATACGACGTCAACTTGGAGAGCCCACCGTATTAGACGTCATCAGTGTCTTCCACCCACCGAGTTTGCCTTGCGCTAGCAGGAAGAAGAAAAGAACCCGTCGTTTCTCAACGCTGCCTTCATTCCAACTGACGCTATCATGTTCGATAAGCCGCAGTACGTGCCGAGTGTCGGCTTGCGGCAGAGGCGGTGAAAGATTTTCGGCCCCTGGCAGGGCACGATTCCAAGATGGTGTGAAGCAGCCGCCATGGCTTGGCTCCGGGCCGCAGTGCGATATCAAGAGCGGCCATCTCAAAAGAGACATGACGACAGCATCACAGGTGGTGGCCCCGAGCCCGGAGTGACAGGAGAGGTACGTCCGAGGTGAACGACGACATGCGTTGCGAACCAGGCGGCTGCAGCGCCATGACGTTGTACCTCCCAGGTTTCTCAAACGGATGGAAAGCATCTCCACCGCGGTCTGGAGTGTACATGCTGTACTCCGTATCGTAACCAACAAAGCAACAAGCGGAGGTGACTTGGTAACTTGCCCCCTTGGCGACGGTGCCTGTGGAACGAACCCTGTGTTTTTGGAGCACTCGCGTCAGGCTGAGCCGGGTGAGGCTATCTTGGCCGGTATCTTTGCACCATGCATGAACGAATTGGAAACACTGATAGGCAGTGGCTGATTTGCCCACTGGCTGAGACGTTTCGTGGATGGCAGAATCCTTGCGGGATGGCGGTTCCACCAGCGAATGCAAGAGGGAAGATTACGGTGGTGGGTGTCGCTTGGGAAGAAGCCTGTGCCATGTACCCGTGGTACCTGTACTTGCTCGAGCGATCTGCTCGGTGCAGAGAACGCGCAGGACACGAAGCACCTAGGTACACGGTACGCGATACGATAAGCAGCACAGACGGCAAACACCACAATTCGCGCGTCTTTTGATCCAGACGGAAGGAGCATGCAACCAGTTGCCACCAGGTGTGAAGCGCGGCCGTCTCTCACGGTCGGACCGGTCCACAGTGACGTCAGGCCCTCCCCCGTCCTCGGTCCGAAGGCCTATCAGCCGCCGCCGTCGGCTCCGCTCCAGCGGGTCCGCGCCCTGCTTCGATTGCGACCTATGCCAACGCTGCCGTCGACTGCCAACCGCGTTGCTTTCCGTGACCAGGTTGCCGGTGCAGGTTCAAGGGCCAAAGGAAAAATACACGTGCGGCCGTCGTGAGGTGGTAGGCACCAGTACCCCCAAGTAAAATGTGCAGTATGTACAGTGCTGGAATTCCTGTTGAAACTCTTGTTCGCTCCCGAGTACGCCTCGGTGCGGTGCCGGGCTGCATACTGCCCACAATCTCTTGCCTGTACGCCTGGCCGCGTGTGCGCCGGGCGCCCATGTGCCGTGTTGCCTTGCACCGCCCGGGAACAGGCGGGCAACCGGCAGCCAGCATGACGGTGGCTACGGCGGTGCTGCGCCAAGGAGCCAAGGGGGAGGGAACCTTTTGTGCTGCGGGAATTCCTGTGCGACGCCATGTACATGTACATGGCTGCTCCGTTCCCCGCCCACCCGCGTCCACATGTCTGGATCCCGCGACTTGACCACTTGGTGGCCATGAAACTCGGGGCCCGGGGGACTTTGCCTGGAGCTGGCAGGAGCAACGACACCATTAGGTAAAGTACATACATGATGCCAACGGTGGGAAAGGGTGTCTCGAAAAACCCAACATCTCCACCGCATCGTCACGATGCAGCAGCTTTGCAAAGTGTAAACGGCTGGCAGGTCGTGGGCTAGGCTTGTAAGTTGTCGAGTTGATTCGCACGCAGCATCTTCACGGCCATGCGCGCAAAGACGGTCGATCAACACAGTATCCTTTATGGTGCGTAGATGCCTGACACTCGAGCATGTTCATCATCAATTGATGTTTCTCTCATTTTGCGGCATTTCATGGGCCCCTGCACATCCCCCTCTCTACTTTACTCAGCCCTTAGCCCGTTCAAGCGCCTGCATCCAACATGTATCCTTGCCGCTTGTTATTCTCCAGGATCTGCCAGACGCGTGGGATGGCGTTTTCCCCCTCGTCGCGGGTTACCTCTTGTGCATCATGGCTGACTTTGACTGGGGTCGCCGCGGTTATTGCTTTACAGTTAGGGTGCGATCGCCGGTCTTGACTCTTGACACATTACAAACCATAGGCCATGGGTAGATACAGAACGGACATGTTGCTTTTTCACCATTATTCCGCCCACGCCACGCATCACCAACAAATCGTCTACAGTACTCGTGACCAACATCAACTACTGCAGATTGACAAACAGGCCGCCATCCACCAGCAGCTGCGCACCGCTCACATAGCCGCTCAGCTCGTCGCACGCCAGAAACACGGCCGGGCCAGCCATGTCAGCCGGCACGCCAGTGCGGCCCAGGGGAATCCTGCCCTCCATGTAGGCCCTCTTGGCGTCGTCGGCCAGGTCCTGCTCGTTGAGCCGCGTGCGGATCGTCCCCGGCAGCAGGGCGTTGCACCGGATGCCGTGGCGGCCCAGGGCCACGGCCGCGCTCTGCATCAAGCTGAGCACGCCGGCCTTTGTCGGCGTGTAGTGCGCCTGCCGCCCGCCGCCGACGAGCGCCGACACCGACGACACGCCGATGATGCTGCCCCCCGGGGGCTCCTGGCGCAGGGCCATCTGCCGCGCCGCCGCCTGCGTCACGTAGAAGGCGCCGTCGAGGTTGGTGCGCACCGTCGTCTCCAGCAGGTCCGGCGCCAGCGTGAGGAAGTCGGCAAACGTGCACACGCCCGCGTTGGAGACGCAAATGTCGAGGCGGCGCGCGGCGCCCGAGTGCGCGACCGCCGCGGCCACGAGCCCGGCCGCCGTCTCGGGGTCCCTGACGTCGCCGGCCTCGTGGGCCAGCCTGCCGACCGCATCGGACGGCGACGACTGCGCGGAGAGCGCGGCGGCCTCGGCGACCAGCGAGTCGAGGTGCTGCTTGTCCTGGTCTAGGCCGAGGTGGTTGACTACCACGTTGGCGCCCTGGCGTAGGAACTCGAGGCAGATGGCGCGGCCGATGCCCGTCGTCCCGCCGGTGATGATGGCCGTCTTGCCGGCCAGCAGCCCCGTCAGCGGCATCATGTAGATGGGCGCACTTGTAATCAATCAATGACTTGACGACTCGTAGTTGGTCTCGGACTCGTCGAGATTTGGAAGGAAAAAAAAAAAAACTGCCAAATGTACGGCGCGGCCAGGGCCACGCTAGCACCTAGATGTAATCGCGGCCGTCTCGATCCACGCACCGGAGTCCTCGGGTAGGTGATACACGGGCGCCGATGGCGAGGGAAACGCGCGATGCGGCAGGCAGAGCGTGTGCGTCAGAGCAAGTGCTGGACGTCGACTGTGGACTGCGATTAGCAAAAGAGTCAAGGACGCTTGGATTTTTACAAATTCATCGAGCTGTCAACAGCCTCGTATTTCTGGGCATTCTTGTGGCTATTTTTACTTTTCCCCGCGACAAGCACCCCCTCATGGACTCTGGGTCTCGGCCCATTGACCAGCGAGCAAACCGCCGGCCCGCCCGGCTCCGGCAGGGGACCAACTTGACGAAACAAAAAAAGCTGGGAGAAAAAAGAAATAAATAGTCGATGGCAGCTCGTTCGCGCAGGGCTGCCACGATGCCCCGTCTGCGAACCCATGCAGCCCTGTGCCGTGGTCACGAGGCCCTGCGTCGCTCCATTTCTCACCGTTTCATCACACGTGGGCAAGACGTGGGCAAGACGGTGGACTGGCGAGCGCAAACGGCCACCGTTCAACTCACGATGCTGCTCGGGGGAGTGCAGAGCGGGAGTGGGTACATATATCTTCAATGGTCCACTCATCCCGGTATGCAGGGTTCAATGCTGCATGGCCACGGGACCGACGACCGGCATGGGATTCATCAGCCGAATTCAGCGGCGTAGTTGGTACGCGGGCGAGTTCACGTCACCTTGTCTGTCAACGGTGGTAGGACAACCAACACTCGAGTGTCAAAGCCGAGCTTCTTTTCACATGTCAGTGCCGGATGAATGACCCAGGAAGCAACATGAAACTTTACCATGACGCATTATCCTGACACACTTACGATTTGGCAGCACAATACACGCAGACGGCTTCGTTCGTGATACCGTGAGGACATTATTCCGTGGCTATTACAACCCTCATATTATATGACTATAGTAGACCGTTAAGAAACCCTGTATTTTCTTTTTTCAGGGCAACGTTGAAGTGAAAAAATGCGCATGCTAATTGACAAAATGCGTGCATCATCCTCATGCCACAGTACCAGATCAAGTCGTCAACTTGCCCATCACGCCCACCAGCTCATCATCATGGTGACCGGCCCCGTTCACCTTTGCGTGCTTCACATCCCCATCCTCCTTGGCAGCGCCATTCATTTCTGGCGCCGGCATGGCCACGGGCGTCGGGGCAAGCAAGTTCCTCGCCGGGATCAACTTTGCCCTCGCCGCCGGGTTAATGGTCAGTCCAAAGCCAGGCTTGTCCAGGTCCGCCGCCGTCAGGTACCCCCTCGTCGGGATCGGCTCGTCGACGAACAAGTCTCCGAAAACAGGCAGCACGCTCCTCCCGTCCGGCGAATTGGCCAGGTACTCCTGGAACGGCGTGTTGGGCTGCGAAATGACAAAGTGGTAGCTGTAGGGCCCGCTGGCGTGCGGCACGACGGGCGTGTCGTACGCCGCGGCCATGGCGGCCACCCGGAGCAGTTCCGTCATGCCGCCGAGCCACATGACGTCCGGTTGGACCATGTCCAGGTCCCGGGACTCGATGAGCTTGCGGAACCCGTAGCGCGAGTACTCGTGCTCGCCCGTGGTGAACTTGGTTGCCGGGTGCGCGCGCTTGATCTGCTGGAAGCCGTCCGTGTCGTCTGGCGACAGGCACTCCTCCCACCAGTTGATGTCGAGGTCCTTGCACGCTTCCACGAGCTGGATCGTGTACGACACGTTGAGGCTCATGTAGCAGTCCACCATGATGGGGAAGTCGGGGCCGACGGATTCCCTGTGCCTCCGGAGAAACGCGACGTTCTTGCGGAGCCCGGCGTGGCCTTCCTCGGGGCTGTGCGGCAGGGGCACCTTGGCGCCCCAGAAGCCCATGTCCCGCGCGGCCGTCGGTTGAGGGCCGGTGCAGTAGAAGTTGATGCGTTCCTTTGTGGCGCCGCCTATAAGCCTGTACACCGGCTCGTTCCTCAGCTTGCCCAGCAGGTCCCAGATGGCGAGGTCAATGACGGAGATGACGGCCACGGGGAGGCCCTTGCGGCCGTAGAACATGGACGCTCGGTACATTTGCTCAAACAGCAGGTTGGTGTTGCGAGGATCGGCACCGATGAGGAACCGTTCAAAGTGTTGGTGGATGAGCCAGCATCCAGGAGGGCCTAGAGCTGTCAGCACTGGTCATGTCCCTTTTACATCTCGGTGGCATCATGGCGGGCAAACAACTTGCCTCCAAAGCCCGTTGCGAACCCAACAGTTCCATCAGATGCTTCGATTTCGACCAGGAATGATCCAAGCACATTGATTCCCCAGCTTGTCCGAGACTTTCGATACTGCTCCCATATTGAGCAGGGGGTGGAAATGTCGCTATCAATCAGCCTGTGAGGGACCAAGTTGGTCAGTTGTTGCCGTGGTTCATGCTGAGCAGGAATATGGGCGTAGGCTCACCAGTGGCCGTCTTTGACATTGTGATAATCGCCGCCTGCCAGTCTGATGTTAGTGCTTGAGGTCTGCCTCCATCTCCGTCATCATGTTCGTACCTGAGCCAACGCCGCTAATCACATAGGATCGAACGGCCTTGATGGTAGGAAACTCCCGAACAGCCGACGCCATGGCTGCCATCAATGTCAAACGGGCACTGGAGAAGAGTGAATATCGGAGCCGTCTCAACCTCTCTGAAACAGGAAAAGGATGCAGTCTTGTGATATACGTCGGCGGCCCGGGACTGGTTCAAGTTGCATTGCCCATGAGTCGCAGTCTGCAAACCCCGGCAAATGGGGTCGGCAACGGAATCGGCTTCAACTCAAGGAAAGACTAATCAATGCCCGTGTGATTATCGTGTAATCTGCACAAGTCGCAGGATCAGACAGTCTGTGGGGGAAGTGACTGCTAGACAAAGGGTCGCAAAGTGCCAAGTGACGATGTGATTGATGGGAGAGTGTGTTCCCCTTCGGCCATAAATGCCCCGATGGCGCGAACGACGAGATGGGGGCACATTCTTCCAACACATCTGCGTCATGGCTGCAGACGCGCGACGCCCAAAGTGTCCTAGGCCGACTGAGTACTCCGTAGCCCTGGAATGAATGTCTCGAGCCAGACGTGAAGTCGTTGAGGGACGCACACTGGGGAAGCTGGGGTGCGACGGGGTGGCAGCACAGAGTTCATCCCACCGTGCCGGGACCACCCAGATCAGATGGCCATGACTTTAGTATTGCCAAACATGTTGCTGCAAAGTATATGTACGGGTATTTCTGTCTGTCTTGCCACCACCAACCAAGTAGTACCTACAAGACGCCTCAGAGCCCGGATTCGCCGGTTTTTTCTTTTTTTTTTTTAAAAAAAAAAAAAAAAAACATTCACTTTTTTAAAGTTATTTCCATTCTCCGTAATTGCCAGACCCAGTTTATTCCCAGAAGCCGAGCCGCCCGAGGCAACAGCTCTGTGGCCATGGTCTAGAGAATAGTTGCGATATATGATGACTATTGATGGGGGGATTTTGACCAAGTTTAACCACGACAGTTGTCATGCAGTCAGGTTTCGTTGTCGACATAGTCCCCAGTTCACAAAGCTGACTGGACCTTGGATCCATAAACATCCTTCTTGGGGTGTCAGGGTCGCCGTTATAATAACGGATGTAAGCTAGCAATCATGAAATTGTGTCTCAATCTGTCAGTAAAATCGGGATGTGCATCAACAAATGCTGCCACGTCCACGTCCAGGGTTCCAGGGTTGCCGCGACTCAGGGTAGCTCCTTCCACTTGCTGGCACTTGTCAGTTATTTAATAGCCGAAGCTCTGCCGTGCTTCATGTCTGGTCTGATTTGGACGAGCTCCTGGGCTTGTTTTCCACCGTCTCCCCACCAGATGCTCCATCAATGTGATTGCGGCAGCATGGCACCATCAAACCCTATCGAGACCTTACTTGTGGCTGGTTTCCCCTCCACCTCGCCCGACTACACAAAGTCGACTAGTCTTCGTCTGCCATCCCTACTTGAGGACTCAGACGCCGCCATTGGAATCTCGTGACTCTGCTCCGGTTCGCCTGCCACTTTACCCACCTTGTCCTCGTTCGCAGCTGATGATCCACACATGCCATAGCTAGTCTGTCTCGACCAATGCAGAATCCTCAATGCCGGCATAATGCAAAACCACCTCCTCCTGTCGCTCACCTTTGTCCCGAATGTTTCACTCTGACATCTCGCTCCCCACTGCCTCGCTTTAACAACAACCCGTGCAGTTATCTTGGCCCGATACTCGGTAGACTGGACACCAGACACTAGGACCGGTATTGTGTTTCACGGAATCGACTTACCAGGGGCCCTTCCCGGCTGGCCGAGAAAGCATGATGCAGCACGGAGCTGTCGGCGCCAAGGGACCATCACCATCATCAGTTCCAGCTTCTGGTCCCACCTCCGTCGTAGCACATCAACCAACCGAGCCCGACAGCGACTCTCATAGTGATGATGAGCAATACAACGACGGCTCTACCCAAAATGGGAAGCGCAAGCGTCCGACCTCAGTTTCGTATGTACAATCTTGGTCTTTCTTTGGCTATCTTGGCTTTTTTTTATGCCATGTCCATGTTGTCCCCTCGGCCCCCCGTTGAGTCGGCTCATCATCCCACATCCGATTCGTCACTTGCTTTTCACGTCTGTATTGTGCCTTGCACTACCGAGTACAACGTTTTGCCATTGTCATCTTGTTTGCTTTGATGTCCTTACATGCCTGTCTCTCTCTATGAGAAGCCCCTGGAATCGAAAACTGACCTCGTCATACCAAGGTGTGAGCTATGCAAACAGCGAAAAGTAAGACGCACAAGACGCGCCCGACCCTGTTCGTTGACTCGGAAGGATCAACAAAGCTACAAATCATCACGCCATGTCATTTTTGTTCCTCCGCAAGCTGCGTCATATCCTGTCCTTAGACATATATTGACCCTGGAATTTAACAGGTAAAATGCGACCGCGGACAGCCGTCTTGCGGATGGTGCGCTCGAAATGGCGCAATATGCGAATACAAGGAGCGGAGGCGGCCTGGTCTAAGGGCTGGCTTTGGTAAGGAGCTCCAAGATCGAATGGACAAGCTTGAGGCCGTCTTGCAGTCTCACTCGGAGATTATTCAACACGTCTTGGCTTCAAATCCACAGCTCAATGCTGCTGCGGGAATCCAAAACAGCAACCCCAGCATAGCAAGTGACCATGGCACGCCAAGGGATGCTTCATCTCACATGTACAGAACATCCGAACCCATCACTACACCAGGAGGAGAGAATAGTTTGTTCGTCCCAAAGACGTCAAGTTTTACGCCGACATCGCAAACCGTTGACTTCAATGCACCGCAACACCCAGGCATGCCTGACGCATATCATCACCAAGGGTCCCTGGGGCGCCTGTCCGCAGCGTCTCAGATACCGCCAATTCAGTCATCTACGCCTGGAGGACAGGCCTACTATCAAAACCAGCCTACAATTCATTCTCCGACCGCCCCCCTGAGCCAAACGGCGGTATCAACTCCCCCGGATCAAGACATGCCCCCCTACGACCTTCTCTATGCTCTTGTCGACCTCTACTTCAAGCACATCAACACTTGGTGCCCAATCCTCCACCGAAAAACCACTCTCGACTCACTGTTTGGACCGTCGACACTGCAAGAGACTGATAGAATTCTCCTACATGCAATTGTGGCCACGACGATGCGCTACTCCACAGACCCTAGACTCACTGATGAAAGGCGGGAGCATTACCACAAAGTGTGCAAGGAACGTGTGCTACTATATGGCATGGAGAATACCTCTGTCAAATCGCTTCAGGCATTGGTCATCGTAGCACTTGATCTGGTCGGCAGTAGCAATGGTCCGCCGGGTTGGAATATTTTGGCGCTCGTCACTCGCTCAGTAGTGCAGCTCGGATTGGCGGTTGAGAGCCACTCATTCACAGTCTCGCCAGGTTACACGTCGATATATACCTTGCGGGCTATGATTCTTCCGGAACCCAAGGACTTTATCGACGACGAATCACGACGACGACTCTTCTGGATGATTTATCTTCTTGACAGATACGCCACTATCGCCACTGCTTTCGAGTTCGCGTTGGCAGACAAGGAAATCGACCGAACGCTGCCCTGCCGTGACGACCTATGGATGCGAAATCAGAGAGTAGACACGAAGTGGTTCAAGGCTAGAGAACATCACGGCGAGGGATCCGCGCATGAGATTTGCAAGCCAGAAAATCTTGGGCCCTTTGCCTACTATATCGAGATTTTGGGCATCTTGTCCAAGATACACAAGTTCCTCAAGCAGCCTGTAGACATCAGTGCTTTGGGAGACGTCGAGCAATGGCAACTGCGCTACAAGGAGCTGGATAACTTACTGACAACCTGGAGGTTTGGGTTGCCCCCCGAGTTTGGGAACATGTCCAAGTTGTTTCAAGCACCCAAGAAGAACTTGAATTGCATTCTGGTGATGCTTCATGGCACGTATCACACTGCCGTCATTCGACTTCATTCGTCAGCAGCGTACCCCACAACACGATCGCCCATATTTACTCCGTCTTACAGTGCTTCGCAAAGATGTCACGGGGCTGTAGAGAATATTGCAGCTTTGGGAGAGTTTGTGGTCCAGAACGGCCTTCTCAGCAAGCTGGGGCCACCATTTGCATTTACGATATGGGTCTCGGCAAGGCTTTTGCTTGTTCATGGATCTACAGTTGAGCATAAACTGGCTCCGCAAATCCCCTTCTTTGTTGACACCCTGCGAGAAATGGGACGATACTGGCCGGTGGCGGCGAGATACTGCGGACTGCTTCAACGGGTGCTTGACGAGCACCGTGACAGTGAGCAGAAGGGTGATGGTATCACACCTAGCTCTGTCAAAATCCTAGCAGACATGCGACGAACGGCATTCGACCTCGACGTTTTGATGTCTCGACAGCCGAAACACAGTTCTGACACGACAGCACGGTTGCCCGCTGTCGCGCCGGCTAAAACACCGGCACCAAATGATTTGGAGTATCTGGACGTGTTTGACTTTTTCAACGTCCCCCGTCTGCCATTTGGCGGCGAGAATTTTGCCGGGGCCCAGGCACTGGGCCCGGACACTGCGATGGATGCACAGAATGGGCAGGCTCAAATGGCGCCAAATGAGTTCAACATTACGAATTTCATGATGGACGCAAATAGTGATTGGCTATTTAAGCAGGAGGGAGGCAGGTTTATGGCGTCGTGATAGCTATCAAGGAATGAATCATCATTTTGCGATCGAGGAAACAGGATGTCTGGACATGTTGGATACATGTATTATACCAAGTTGCTTGCGTGCAAAATTCATGTATAACGAATGGGAGGAACTGTTTGGAGACTCTGTATTGCGGTCTCTTTTCTTAATATTATCGGAGTTGTCATGGAGTCTACTTGCAAGATGAGTCAATGAAGGCCTTCCTCACCCGTCTAGTCCTAGTCTTTCCGCCGGGCAGCCATCTTGAGATGACAATTCAGAAATGTCGAGGCTGCAGTTTTGCCGCGGCCGAATACATCATACCCCTGTGTTGCGGGTTCAAAGCCAACAGTCTACAAAGTACAGCAGGATATATTTGCCCATCAACACGCTAATGTCCTTTA